ATGCCAAACCAACTTCTGCAGTGTGAATGACACTGTCGAATGGGCTTAAGAAATTCGCAATGTTTCTGTTTGTTCTCCTTCCTGGGGTAATGCAAACCTCACACTTTTACTTACAGCGATAAAAGGGCTGTTGCTTTAAAGCAGAGGGAATAGAAAACATGTCGTGAAAAGTAACACAGTTTCCAAAACATGGAAAGAGAAGCAGAAGCGAGTTTTATTCCAAAGATAAACCAGTCTGCTCCATCTTCCCACTAGAGGGCACCACGACTTTAGTTAAAAACCAAACCCAATTCCCTCATGGGACCAGTTTGTAATGTACTGAAGCTCTGAGCCTTGCTGCTCTGATAATGCCTCCCAACACGATGGCTTGTTTCCTACTAAGGGAACTTCTCCTCCCTGTGTTTGGCCTCACCTTCAGGCTCACTTTCCATGTTTTGTTTTTATTAGTTCCATCTCCATCAACATGTATGCCTATATCTTTATACAGAGCTTTGGGCATAGTGGTTAAGCACTCTACTGTTAATCCAAAGGTCAGCAGTTCAAACCTACTAGTCATCCACAGGAGAATGATGAGTGAATTCACTTCCATAAAGATTCCATAAAAAACTTGAGGAGGCAGTTCTATTCTATAGAGTCACCGTGGGTTGAAGTTGGCTTGACGGCAATAGGAGTTCCAGCCTTGGTAACGTCGTAGTTATGGGTTGGGTTGAGCAGTTCAAAACCACTATTCGCTCAGAGGATGAAAGAGGGGACTTTTGATTCCCATAAAGAGTTACGCTCTTGGAAACTTATAGTAGTATTTCTACCCTGTCCTATAGGGTCACTATGAGTTACCATCACCTACCCAAAACGTCCTTTGTGGGTGGGTTTTTCTTAGGTTCACAACTTACAGCTTCATGTTCTTAAAAAAAAATTTTTTTGAGCTTCATGTTCTCAGAGCTTCTAAAACCTACGTGGGTAAACATCGACTTGATCCTCTTCAATTCACATGCACATATTCATTTTACTGTACACTATTGCTGGAGACTGATCCAACTCACCATCCATGCCTCCTTCTTTGACTGTTTACTCCTTGCAGGCATTGTTAGGCTGACAGACAGACTAGGAAGTCCTCTTTTAGTGCCCTCTGTAGAACTCTGCATCTACATACATGTGCAATGCAGTGGTGCCCCTGGCTATCTATCAAATCTGTTTGTATATTGACCAAGTATCTGAAACAGAGAATGGCCCAGGATGGGGCACAGTGTTTTGTTCTGTTGTACATTGGGTCACTGTGAATCAGAGCCAACTTAATGGCCCGAGCAACAACAGCAACAACAACAACTCTATATAGGTGAGAGTACAAAGGGGGGATACTGACAGACTTATTGATACTACACACAGTGACGGAGAGAGAGAGAGACAGACAGACAGACAGACAGACAGACACAGTGGTAAGTAAAAACATTCAAACTAGGGTTCCAGTTCATGCACGCACGCATGGGTTTATTTCAAGCAGAGAGTGTTTAAAATGTCTCTGTGATCAGTGGATGATTGCGGACAAATTCTTAGCTTATTTTTTTAAAAGGAAGAGAAACCAAACTCATTGCCATCAAGTTGATTTTGAGTCATAGTGACCCTACGAGACTCAGTAGAACAGCCTCTGGGGGTTTCTGAAACCATAACTCTTGACCTTAGTAGAAAGCCTCATCTTTTTCCTTTAAAGCGTCTGGTGGTCTCAAACTGCTGACTTTTCAGTGAGAAGCCCAATATATAACCCACCAGGCCACCAGGGAGATTAGACTGTCTTTTTAAAAATGTCCAATTAAAACAGTGGCTTCTGAGGGGGAGCTGCTGGCCCAGTTAAATTCAAGGCAAAGGAGTCAGCTCAGAAGTTATGCTAATTGTCCTTTGGGAACCCCAAGGGGGTAATATTGATAGATTTTCTTCAAGCACACAGTATAATCATGGGGACTTTTAGGAAAAACTATTAAGAAAATTGCAAGTGGTCTTGTTGAGAAAAAAAGTGAGGAACATTGAGCCGAGGGTATTCTCCCATCATGATCATGTACCTGCTTATTCTTCCAGGGGAACAAGTACTGTCAGCTGGAATTATTATTGAGAACTGGGTCTCCATCCACCCATAGCTCTGATCTCGCCCCTCCAAGCTTCTGTATGCTCCCCAAACTCAGAGATCATTTAAAAGGAACACACTTGGAGTCCCCTTGAGGATGCCCAACAGTCACCTGTCCTAATCAAACTCTGTTTGGATATATTTGTAAATGGAGGAGTGCCGATCTACAGGGGATGAGCTGAAGAGATGGAAACATCATTTTCAAAGATGCATTGACTTCGGTGGCAGATAGGTGGAGGAACAATGGCTTCACATTTTGCTATTTTTGTGTGCTAAAGACTGCTATGATTTTTGCAGCAATACTTTTTGACCTACCCTTCTTTATCATTTCTTAGAGAAGCCCATGAGAGCTCAGACTTTGACAGGGCTGCATTGCATTTCCAGGTCTTGAGAGTGTGAAGCTTAAGAAAAAAAGCTCGAATACGCATGTTATTTGCATAAAAATGTGGTCATTCTGGTGATTGTGATTCAGGCTAGGGTGACACAGAAGAAAACATGATTTACATGAATGTCTAG